AGCCCGAAGTGACGGACAGCTAGCGCTAATCTCTCCAGTGCCGCTTGACACGCTTGTGAGCTGTCACAGATTAGGGCAATATCATCAGCCAACTCCAAGTCCAGAAGTCGTTCTCCTGGGAGCAGATCCCCAACTTCACAGTCGAGTCCTGTGAACGCGATTTCCATGACTTCGTCAACAGCGAAGTTGAAGAGGAAAGGTGATAGCGGGCATCCTTGTCTCACGCCGCTGGAGATATTAAAGGGCGACGACAACTTGCCGTAAGCCCTCACTCCGCCTGAACTACGCGCATATAATGCTCGGATAATATTCACATATTTCTAAGGTACACCTTTCCTGAGTAGACAGTCCCAAAGTGCATGTCTATCCACCGAATCGAATGCACCTGTGATATCGAGGAACACGACAACGGTGGGCCGCCAATATATGTGACGGTGCTCCAACAACTGACGCAAGGTGAAGATGTGGTCAATGTAGCCGCGACCTCGACGAAACCCGGCTTGCTCTTCACGAATCTGGCTTTCACGGGTGCCAGTCAGTCTGTGAAGTATGACAGAGGCAAGTAATTGGGAGGCGATGGAGATCAGATTGATTCCTCTATGGCTGCCGCATTCCGATCGTGAGCCTCCCTTGAAAATTGGGACTATGACGGAGCGGCTCCAGTCGGTTGGGACAGTTTCCTGCTCCCACAGTTTCACAAGTAACTCGTGTAAATCATCCACAAGAGCATGTACCCCGAATTCGAAGAGGGCTGGAGGAAGAGCATCAGGTCCCGCGGCTTTATTTAACTTCAACGGTCCGATCTCACGTTCGACTTCTCAGCGAAAGGGTGGATCCAAAGGGACAGCCCACGGAGTAGGGAGATCAGTGGCCGGCGAGAAATTTAACAATTCCGGCCGATTAAATTGCTCTTCAAAGTGCTCAGCCCAACGCTCAAAGCGTTTTGACAAGTTGTGGATAGACTGTCCACTCTCATCACAAATTGTTTCACTAACACCAGGTCTCCTGCTGCCCGTTTCCCGTATCAGACAGAATAACTTACGATGGTTACCAAGTGCAGCGGCCATTTCCATCTCTGATGCACGAGGAGACCACCAGGATTCGCCGTCTCTCTTCAGGCTAGCACGGAGTTTTGCCCGGAGCTCTTTGAGAGTTTCATTGTGTTCGCTTCCAGCCGGAATATGCCGGCGAGCATTTATAAGTTCCAGAGACTGTGAAGAGACCCGATGTCCATGTTGGCGATTAGACATACCACATGAGGATTTGCCTGCTGCAAGTAAGGTCTGGTGAATACGAGACCAGTGACCTAAAATTGTCTCCAGTGAGCGCATAATCAACTCGCAGGTCAGCGTACTTTGTTAGGCATTCAGAACAGCTGGTTTCGCCAGTTGGCTGGTGTCAATGCGCTCACAGCGTCGTCGTGGGGGTCCGCCAAAACGCATCCGCAGGTCAGCACATACAATTGCATATTCGGTGTCCACACATGTGCTCCAAATCGAGCGACAGTTCTGGATGCAGCCTCTCCATCGGTAACTCATCGCAATGTGATCGATTTGCGTCCAAGGCTGGTGGGCGCTAAGTCACCCTCCAGCAGGTGCCGTGTCGGAAATTAGTGCTCGCAAGAAATAAGCGAGCATCTTCACACAAATGAAGTAACCGTTCACCGTTATCATTACGGGAGCCTACACCATGTTGGCCGCCCAAATGCAGCTCATCAGTGAATAATTTTCCAACTTGAGCGTTCAGATCCACGGTCAGCACTACAGTGCCCGAGCTTCTTCTGTGGCTAAGGAGCTCGTTCAGTTGATGATAGAAGTCGTCTTTTACCGAGTCATCGCTACAGTTTGTCGGTGCATAGGCAGCGATAACGAATAGACACCTGTTAGTCACACGCGACTTCGAAGTTTTGAACGAGCTAGCCAATCGGACCGCACACATCCGGCTACTGATTGGAATCCAATCAACCAGAGCAGCTTCAGCCCGGGGACTCAGGGCAATACCAGCACCAGCTTGGCCGGTGCTCGAAGCTGCATCGTCACCGGATAGGCGCAATGAGAAAGTGCTGCTGGTGTCACATGAAGGGGATCGCAAAGTGAGCACTGAGCTCGAGTCTTGCAGGCGGATCTCCGATAAGCAGCAGATATCGATTGACAGGGTCTCTAATGTTCGGACAAGTGCTGCCTGTTGACCGATCTGAAGCAATGTGCGAACATTGAGGCATGCCAATCTGAAGGAGGATCGAGGGCTCCAAATGGAAGCCGATAAACTGGGCTTGACCGCTTGCTTGGACATGGGCCTGTTGACAGGGCAGAAATGACGCTCCGCGTTCACATGTGAGTTGAAACTAAAAGACAAGCGACTATTGAAGCAAGGTGGGGGAGGGCCGAGAATTGGGGGTTGAAAACAGAGGGGATAAAAGTGAAACTGGAACGGGACGATAAGGGTGAAAAGGCGTAAGAGGGGGAATAAGAAGACGGGAAGGCTTGAGCAGTAGCATCCAATCCCCTATACACCCTGCTCGATGCAGCAGATAGGGCACCATCGATTATCCTCTGCGGTGGCCAGAGCATTAGAAATTTGTTTGAAGTGAGATTCATAGTATTGCGTGGGCAGGATACTGTCAGGTTGCCCAGGCCTAGACAGGAGAACAATTAGGGTTCTCAACCAAAGCCTTTGGTTCAAAAACCTGTCCGCAAGGCAGCGGGTTTGGCATTGGGCTACAAGGAGCCCGTTTTAAGCAATAAGGTGCCATCCTCATTCCAACCCCCAACCTGGAGGGCCAGGAGGCTGAGTTTGTCTGGCCGCTAACCATTGACCAATCTGGTGTGAGTGGCTCTGAAAGTGCAACAATGCACCACACAGTATAGCTCAATGGATCACTGAGGCACACAAACCATCGCACCACGGTAAGGTCCAGCCTCATTGCGATGGGTTATTTCAAGCGATTGGCTGTTGCTTGATATCCCCAGTGTGGTTGCGCTTGATGTGCATATCGACAAGGTGTCTACCTGTCTATTACCCATTACCTCGCCCATACTGGCTCCAGGAGACAGTTAGCCGTTGCTGGAAGGGACGGGGTGCACGGTCCTTGTGACCGTACTAGACTTGAAGAGCGGTTCTATACGCATGGTTTGTGTTTGGAGCGGACTACGTTCCAGCCACCGCCTTGTGTAAGCTTGATTAACCAAATACAGCGTGTTTGTGTTTGCCTATGAAGGAGTGCGGTCTGGCTCTGTTGATGAAACCTGGCTCCCATCCGCATACCTCCCGGTCTTATAACTTCGGGTTTACAATGGATATGGGGTTTGTGGATGGAGGTGTGGGTGGTGCAACGCAAGCCATCCATGGTCCCTCTGTATGCGCAGGCGTCCTGTGGCTGGCCACAGTGACAGGCAAATCCGAAACCCCATGCCGCCAACCATGCATTGCGCAATGTAAACATTAATTTGTTGCAGATTACCTAAAACTAGAGCCCATTTTACAATCTGACTGTAATAGTCGTGTTGAGCACATGACAACTAATAAGAAGTGACTAAAGTTATTTTCAGTAACACAAGTTGTGTAAAATTTGCTGACCAGTGCCATTTGTATCGTCGTTAGGCGAGTCATGATTAGTGAATGTAACGCATTTATGTGCCTGGATCAACATCCACTGTTCCATGTCAAAATCAATCAAGCTTCACAAGTAACTCAGTATCACGCGCATGTTAAATGACAGCTCGGCTAGAAGACGACAGAAAAGACGGCAATAGTGTCGTTTCCGCACTATGTTCTGTAACGTTTTCAATTCAACAGGTTGTGAGAACTCTGACCTGTAAGATAAAGGGTGCAAACAATATACATCTCGCGTTACTAAGTAGACAAGAACATCCACTTATACACCTATAGCACAAAGCTGACAGAACGTTGCTGACCGAACGCTCGTCTTGACGAACGAACAGCCCTGAGCGCTTGATCGCGTGGCGTGATCGGATGACCACATGTTATGAATGTTGACTCCAGGCAGTCGAAGTGTAAAGAGAGTGGAGAACCTGCCTGATACGGTTAAGATTAAAACTATTGAGGCGGTAAACCACACACTGTGGATACTCTGGGCTAGGTGCATAAAAGAGCAGGCTGGTGGTATCCTCGGACACAAAAATCCTAACTCAACAACCCAAAAGGATGAGGCACTGATTTTAGAGTTAAAAAAGGAGAAACGTTTATTGGTCAAAACCTGTGAAACAGGGATTTTGATCGGTGCAAAGTGACTAACATGATCGTGGAGTTCCAGAAGAAAACAGGCCTCGTCACAAAAAGTGGACCCGAAAATAAGACTCGGGAAAAGACCGACTGGGCTGACAAAACTATAAATAATCTGCGTGGTTCAAAAAGAAACGAGAAAGGCTGTAAATTTAGCCACGAGAACGTTAGCGTAGTCTCTGTCGCGGGCAGAATAGAAAATGGCCTTCCGATTAAGGAGTTAATAATGATTATTCAGAGCAGGTGTAGTCATTGAAGTGTGATGAAATGAATGCTACCAGCGTAACTTGAGAGTGTGTGGAAGGATGACGGCCGCTTACAGGGTAACCGCTAATGTGGCATTTTGACGATAAATTTGATTTCGTTAAGGTTTTCATTCCAGTAGTTCACAAGCTACATAGCAGAGCCTAGTCCGGAAAAGCACCAGACGCGTTTCGCCATACTGGGGCGCGCCATGGGTCATGGGTTCCATCCTCTTTAGAGGACCGAGGGAATGCGCACCACTGACGAGCTCTAATAGGGTGAAACGCGTCTGGTGCTTTTCCGGACTAGGCTCTGCTATGCAGCTTGTGAACTACTGGGATGAAACCTTAACAAAATTACAACCAAAATCCTGCTACTTACCAGCGATAACATTTATTATTAACCAGAGTGTAATCAATGGCGAATCAACGTACTGCGGAGGTATTGTGTCGAATGAGTTTATTTACGGTCAATATAGCAAAACATGTAGATACGAAAGAAAACAACTGACATACCAGAGCGTTTTTTCGAAGCAACTGGTGAGCGTAAAACCACACCTTGTAACAGTCTGCCGTCGCGATTGGCCAAAATGAGAACGTCAGGAGGCAATTCCAAAGCAGAACTTCGACCTGCGACTGATCCAGCGGAAATACACAACAGAGAGCAAAACTGTTCACCGTAGTTGTCGACAGAAGGCGGCAAAATTTGTAAAGCTTTGACCAAGAACTGATGGCGATTGGGTGGCCTGGAAGAGGAGCAGCTGATCACTTCAACGATGTCACCTGAAATTGCAAGACAGTGAGCCACTACAGAACACCGAAATATAACATCGGGCCCTAGACTACATGTGTTCGTCATAATGATAGAAATATTAGAAAATATAAAGTGAGAAAAAAGCGAATACACTGAGTGGCATGAAGAGGCCCGGCTGAAAGCTATTGATGACGGAAAATTTTGACCACCAAAATGAAGATGTCCTCTGAGTGCGATCACAAAGAGCAAAAAGAAACAGGAAGGTGGAGATGAATTCCGGTAAGAGGACTTGTTAGTCGCCAAACAAGTTGGAATAGCAGGAAAAGGAATAATTCTAACGAAAAATCCAACTAGATAGACCTTAGCCGTTGAGTCCCAACCAACTGACTTCTGGTAGTCTTTTTTGTAGCAGCAACCGGGTGCACTGTGAAGAGAAAGGTGTTGTCTCCTCAAACCTACCCAAAGGCATACTCGGTTTTTCAGTTACAGTATTCCGTGAACTCTTCAAATAAAGAGAAAAATTTGTAACGGCTAGCATAATTAGTTTTCAGGAGAACATGTAAGATCTCAATGTCCAGCTAGGGTACAGAGTTACCTTGTTCCTGATGGACACAATAGCACAAGGGAAAGAGATGAAGAACGGTAGAGCGAATAGAAAACCACTAGCAAATAGTCGTCTGAGTGACGAAATATAGCGTCTCCAAGCATTAAGCGTGTGTACACCGGGAGGATAATAACCATGATGACTTGGTCATTGTCGAATGGACAAACCGAACTGAACCACAAGCAGGTCTATTTGACATGACGCAATCCACAAGTAAGACTAGTGTGTAAGACAGGGATACAAGAATACTAATGTCTTCGAACGAGTAAAGTCAGTATTGACCTTTGGCCTGTTGCTGATTCATTTCGATCCAAACCGAGAAAACGATTCTGCCAAAAATGCATCGAGTAATTGGATCCTTAAAGTAATCGCACATGTGTATCCAGACAAATCCCAGAGAGCAATTGTGCACACCACCACGACCTTGACAGAAGTAGAAACAAAATGCAACCATTTCGAGGAGGCGCTGAACATAATCTTTACAGTGAAGACGTTCGACAATGTGTCATGACTGCTGCTTCAAGAGTCTGAACGACCACAAGCAGTTGCTGTCTTCGGTTAGAAGAAGGGTACTTTTGTCTATACGTCCAACTGCCTTCAATGCTAGACACACTGCTGAGCCGTGAATTTGGGCTTCGCTATGCAAAAGACGGCTTTTATGAGTCAATCGGATGCAATGTCACGCCTCAATGACTCATTCAAGAAAGAGGAAGAGGACACGATAATGGACGCAGCCGAGACTGACCCTGGCGTCAACATCCTAGCGTGGGACGAATTATACGACTTGTCAGTTACTTCGGAGGTTATGTGGGTTGAAACTCTCCATGACCCTTTGGTAAAGTAGCTCGCAAAGTTCCAAAGTACGATCTGGTCACGTTCGTGCTCATCAGCAGAATTGCAGCAGTACTGTCAAAGACATTGATACCTTAATAATGAGCGACTGCGCACCACTTTTTAAAATAGTCGTCAGTCAGACGGCTTGGCAAAAGCGCACACTCCGGTAACTTCATGTAAGATGTCATGGGATCCGTTAAGAAATATGCTTGCGCAACGCAACGTGAACTAACCTTTCATATGAAAGCAACTGGAAGAATAAACCGAACATTACTAAACATGTACGAACGCTCTAAAAGTGTCACAAACATCGTAGTTCCAATTATGGCCAAAATACACGAAACCATGACACAGTGTTCATATCGACTTCAAGGGCCCGATCAACAACCGGAACATCCTTATTCTGGTCGACACCTGCAGCAAATGTCTTATGAGTAGTGCAAGAACGAAGGCTTATGCTTCAAAACTGCGGCTGACCTTCAGCCGAATGTGTTAGCCAGACATTTGTGAAGGATAGCGGCTAGCAGTTCACCTCGGAAACGTTCACGGGGTTCGGCAAGCGATGTGCTGCCCAGCACGTCTGTCCACCCATAATCAAATGGTCAAGCGGGGGAATGTGTTAACATGTTCAGACGCGTTCTAATCAAGCCAACCGTGAAGGGGCATAAATAGAGTGATACTCAGGTTTCTTGTACCGGTTCGTGTCAACACCACAGGCACCTAATGGAGTGCCAACAGCAGAACTGATGAACAGGAAGACCTGCACCCCCTTCAATACACCTGGGTCAGTTTCACAGTTCTGATGCAGTAAAAAAACGGAACGAGCAATCAAAATGGTGACAAGGAAAAAAGTAACACCCAGTGATGTCCAGCCTTAGCAAGTGCCTACGGGAAGAGCCATGTAACTTAGACTACAGGTAAGATCAACCATAAACGTGAGGATGTCATCAGTGATGTGCTCACTGGATCGCAGACCTGGGTGCGCTATGAAAATCAACCAGAAACCACGAATCCCGTAGAGCTACCTTTTGAGACCATTGTGAATCGTTTCGAGTTGTGGAAAGATGAGATGGAAAGTGACAACCGGAAGGAGGACACAGCCGTCAATCCAAAGCTAGTTCCGAAAGCACCACTACCAAAGTAATGGATTGTTAGAAGGAGAACATCATCTTCAGAACTGCAATGTAGCCAAAGGCTCACGAGGGAGGTGAACGAGAAGAAGCGAAATCCTCTACGAAAACCGTATATTTCCGTGATAAGACGAACTGAACCAATAATTTATAGCGGAATCATCCAGTCAGTTCTGGAACATGCTGATCCGTCGCGCGAACCCAATACCTACACCTACTCATTGGTCGAGGCGCATTTGAACTGATAATTTTGGCAGCCGACCGAGCTATTCCACGGTCTGAACATTCCTGAGTTGATCCATAGACATGTGTTGTTCACGTTGCTTGTATCAATTCGGTAGGTGTTCCTACAATACCATGTTGATTGCCGTTTTGTGAGGGAAGGGAAGCTCGCGGGGGAATGCGATCGCTTCAGTTTGAATCCAATAGAAAAAGATAACAAACGTGAAAGCATATAACTCAGAGAAAACATGTGCCATCCTAACGCATCGTCTAGGCAACAGGGAGACCCTGCGGTAAAGTTGTTACAATGATAGACAAGTGGCAATTGGTTCGATTACCACAAAAAGATTAAAAGCTGGGAAGAAGTCGGATGGTGCGATGCAATGTTGTGAGCTAGAAGCAATGGAATAATTGCGGGCAGTTGTCGTAACACAAACAACTGCCGTTTTGTGCAAGCATTGCTGCTGACATTATAGGGAGAGAATGTGCTAGTTATTATGGATAGAATAACCAAGATTGGAAACACGTGCAAAACAACTTGTACAGAGATTTATACGCAATTTATGATTCGGGTCACAAGAAAGTATGTTTGCTTTATCATCTTCTGTATGGTGCTTTGACACAGCCAGTGAAAGACAGAGCAAAAAACATGAGAATCTAGCACACAAACTTCTCCCAGTTGCATTTGATATGTAGATACTAAAGCAAAGAAATACAGAAAAGTAGCCGTATGAGTGATCAAGTCTGAATTCGGCGCCGACTGACACATGTGACGTAAAATTTCAATTTTCTCATGAAAGGTAATGACATATGACGCGAAGCTTCTGATGTTTACAAAACGCAACCACAGTCACAGTTAAAAAAAGTTCCGCAAAATCGTGTGCTACTTCAGTGTGACAAGTCACAAATTACTGAGTGGTCCTGAGTTAACAGGGAAAACAGTTATAAAAAAGCAGAATGTCTTAGCCCCAAAGACCGTCTTTAGGGTGTTTGTATCCCATGAAGACAAGCGAATAAACTGTGGAGCAGATAGGTGTTGGGGTTGCCCACTCGCAAAACAGCTTACAACTAGCGGTTTCGCATTTGTTGCAGTGCTGCGATCGATAAACGCCCGAAATTTATCTGCTCCGTATACGGTCCCAGTGACCAAATGACCGAAGTTTCCTCGAAGTGAATCACGGTCCAGAGAGAGCGCTGTGATCCATTCACACAACAAGTGATTGCACAGAAAGTGAGGAAAATTAATGGGCTTTAACACCATGTAAAGGACGTCGTAATTTCTAAGAGTTGAGCATGAAAGGAAGAGCACACCATTTGGACCCAAATTCTGCCGGTAAATGTAGAAGAAAGCGATGGGAATCAAGCCGGACCTAAGCACAGCAGAGGGTCTTCGAACACGAAACAGAGACCCGAACCTTCAAATGAATCACCGTAAACTGTAGCCAGATTGTCTGTGCGCCTCCAAGGTGGTATTATTCCAAACATTCAAAATACAATGGAGAAAACCTCGAAGCGAACCGATGGGCTAGTTATGTGTAGTACGTCGCCTATGGCAGCTAAAGTCATATTAGAATCGATGACCCAAGTTAGTAAGATTAGGTAGAAATTCGTCACGTCTAGACTCACTCAGACAGCCGCCACACGCTCGGAAAAGCACTGTACGCGCGTTTCATCCTTTCGGGAATCATCAGCAGTGCGCATTCCATCTGACCCTTGGTAGGGCTCGAACCCGCAACTCGACTGTTGCCAGTCCGTGATTGAAACCACTGAGCTACGGGGGACGACAACGACAGCAGTAACGTGTAAGTCAGTGGATAGTGAGCGGCGCTATATCACATCTAGTAACTTATTCACGATGGTCGTTGCCGTCCCCCGTAGCTCAGTGGTCTCAACCACGGACTGGCAACAGTCGAGCTGCGGGTTCGTGCCCTACCAAGGGTCCGATGGAATGCGCACTGCTGATGATTCCCGAAAGGATGAAACGCGCGTACAGTGCTTTTCCGGGCGTGTGGCGGCTGTCTGAGTGAGTCTAGACGTGACGAATTTCTACCTATACCATTCAACTCCCCCTATTACTCCTCTGTAATTAGCAAGATTATTTGTCTCTAATTTTTCGAAAATGGTCAATTCGAAGTAGCTTGTGACCCAATGAAGTACTTCAACTTAAACACTGATTTCGACTGGATTGACAAACCAGACCAACTTCATGTTCATTTCAGTCATGATGCGCAATAACGTGTGCAGTATTGTTTTGAAGCGGGGGTAAAGGCTGAAAGAGGGATATCAAATGATCCGGGCTGTAGGTCAAAAGCTGTATGTTTATTGAACGGTGTTCTCAGGCGTCGACCCAGAGATCGGAATATTTTGAAATCTCGGTAAATACTCGTTAGAGAAAGCCCAAATCGCAGTTGTGAAGAAACCGAATAGCAAATTCCGTTTCTAACCAGTCTATTTCACTGTTCTGAACGTATTGTTATAAAAGCAACAATAAAGTATACCACTCTCTGAGGATGTTTGCACGGCAGAATGATTACATTTGTTGTCAAACGAGAACTACCCAACGACTATCGCTAAATTTACATATACAAAGAATTTCAAGTTCTGATAGCGCTTATCTCCCACCGTGAATCGTGGAACAGATCATAATCTGTACAGCCGAGGATTTGGCAAGATTATGTTCGAAATTTTCGCTACCCATAAAATCACTCCGCAAGTGCGAGTTGCTTTTCTGGAGGGAACAATCCTGGAGACCATGTTCACGAGTTAATCTCAAGCCTGCAAGAAAAAAGGAGCTAATTGTTTGACACAGGTAGTAAATAGCGTGGGATCATCCACATGACAAGCGCCACCTCACTAACCATTGGCAACACTCATAGCTATGTTGACAGCAGCAAGAAAGTTTTTGAAACCAATATTTCTGATAACGGCTTACTATGTTGCAATTTCGTAAGTTTAGCGCAAAGCACAGGATAAAACGTTTGCGCTTGTCACCTCATCCACAACTTAATGACAGAAATGTCTGTGGATACCTAAAGAAGACGGTGTCGAGAAGGAATGACGGGTTTAATAAAAGGATGAAAGCCACACTTCTGACCAATAATATCGTACTCAAACCAGACACCGGAAGAAATTGCCTCCAAGGAGAAAACGACGAACCACAATGAACGAAGAAGATTGAGGAACATAGGTCGAAGAGAAAATAAAACAAGGAATCCCATTGGAATGGATATCAATCGACAAAAACGGGGGACGCCAGGAGTTAGCCTCACACGTAATTCGACTCCCAAAACGCGATGAGCAGAAAGAACCACGGCAGAAGTGAAAAAACATGGTTCTGCAGTGGCACACAGACTACAGAAGCGGCTCACTAGTAGGTTAATAGACTCAATTTGAAATTTGCTCAACAATGAACTAAAAATAATAATGGAATATCCAATTTCGGGTAAGTGGACAAAAACAGTCGAGTAGTATTTGACGAAAGAGAACACACTCATAAAGTATAAGCATGGTGTAGGTGCGGAAAGTTATGAAAAATTTACCGTTTTCAAAGAGTACGTAAATGCAAGGGCCAGTTTCTTCCACGGGCTTGGAATGACCCATCATGGTCTTCGTGGGCCATGCTGCACCGAAGTCAAAATCAACACAAATGGCGCCGAGTGCATCGTTCGCGTGAATACGGCTGCGACTGGTGCGAGAATCCTCGAAATCGCTCTCTTCACTACTAGAGTAGTCCGAATCGCTGTACACCGCTGTATCCTCGTGACGGCCAAGATAGCAACCCAGATGCACCTCCGATCTGATACGGCACTCGATTCTGTGCACATTATCTGGCCGCATGCATTGTACATAGTAAAGAGATGAGCTGCTGGTAAGGATAACCAGAGTGTTCTTTAACTGCGGATGCCAACGTATCCTGAGAATGGTGCATTGATCACGATCCAAGGTCGTCGTATCCGCGATGTCGAAAGCGTGATAGAGGAACTTTGCAAGGGTTGACTGAAGAGGAAGTAGAAGAGATAAATAGGAAATGCAAGAGAGTAATAAGTGGAGGACAGAAGCGGTGAGGATCAAAATAGTTAATCCGCAGTCAGCAAAGCAGAAACCACCGATTATGGGGGGGGGGGGGCTCGTATACCGTGAGATCACTTGCAACCGCGTAGGTCCGAACCAGTGGATTATTAGCCAAACACTTGAATCAGTCCGCTACTGCCTATAGTGGTCCGAGTGTGCAGTTTATAAGCCGCAGACCACTGGATGGAACCTTCGTGGGTGTAGGCGACCTCGTAGTTTGCAAATGGTGATACCTGTGTCACAGAAAACGTCAATACACGGTCCCGTTGGATAGTTAACACTCGTACACACCCAATAGTTCATGATCTGCATCGAACAGTCCAATGACGAAGAGTCAGGGCAATGAGCAACTCCCGTGAGCACAAGGTTAATGTTCGTGATCAATGTGTTAAATGGATCACTCTAAAGACGAACTCGGAGAAGGAGGTACGATGGCTCTATAGGAATAGTGGCAACATCTCCCGAGCAGATCAATAACCCGTTAATGCCTTGGTTCTGCCATCGATGTAGTTCCTGGACATAATGCCGTGGTAACCGATGAGTAAAGCTCAATACCAGCCTTTTAGATGCAGTCAGAATGACATTACTAGGTCGATTGAATCACGTCACCTTTCTCATAGACACTGCGCAGTTAGTAGTTTCCTGATAGTGTGCTGGTTTTAGAAAAGATTCGTCGCATCTAGACTAGGTGAGGTAGTCACCGCACATCCAGGAAAGTGCAAGACGGACGTTTCGTCCTATTGGGACTCGTCAGTATTAAGCACTGACCGAATCCTGCCGGATTCAAACTCATGACATTACTCTTGCGGGTATGCGACTTATATCACTGAGTCATGGGTGATGACGGCGGACCGTCACAACTGACATCCAACTGCGATATAGCGCGGCTCATCATCCATTGTCATGCATCTTGTGAACGTGCAGAGGACAAAACTGGTCCCCAGAGCTACGACTTCCTTTGCAAGCCGCCACCAATCAAAATGGGATGTTAGCTAGTAAGGCGGTTACTGACTAATAGGAGTAAGGGCATGGATTTGAATCAAGAAGGATTCGGCGGGTGCAAGCTAGTGAAGAGACCCAACAGGACGAAACGGCCGTCTAGCGCTTTCCTGGATGTGTGGTGGGTGTCTCAATGGGTCTAGCTGTGACGAATCTTTCCCAAAACGTCACAAATCCCCTAATACACCCCATTGGTGCGCTAGTTCAAAAACTAATTATAAGTCACAAAAAGTTAATCCCAAGCTGTACTGTCCGTTTTGCAATCGGGTATACATACATAGAGCAACCGATGAAGTTCTGACTTTAAGTGCTGAAATTTAGCCCACCAACCATGAACGCATTCACCATCCGTCGGTTAATCGACGCAATCGAATGTATTTATAAAACAATCTGAAGAGTAAACGACGGAACGCGCGCAGGCTACTAAATCGTAAAGCAAACCAAAGATAGTTAATTCGCGACTACGGCACATCGGATATAGTCTCTAACTGCTGATGCGGTCCACACCGAAGTTCTAACCAGTGGGACGGCATCAACCGGTTCCTGAATGACCTACAGTAATGCTATAACTTAGTCATGCTGCAGTTTCACCCAACCTAGTGTAATGTCCTAAGCACTACACGTCGAGGTAGGATAATGACGGGTATACGAGGGACATAAATAGGCAAACTTAGACTCACAAAGTGAGTTGGAAAAAAAGTGATTCACTAAGTGGTCCCATCACATGTGATCAACGCTAAGCAGATGCCGTGACCAGAGGCAAACAATCTCTTGGTGTAGTCAAAGCGTAATGATCAGGTCTTTAGGCCATATAGGAACATAGGAGCACTGCAATCATGGCGACTCCGTCAAGTCAGGTCTGTATCATCGGAGTAACCGAGCTCGTGAATCTAAACAGAAAGGACAGTATGGGCCGACAATATCTTCAGATCTTATTGCCATGTCAACAGTTGACCAACCCGACGCTTCACGCAGACAGGTGGTGTGAACAAAAAGAGACAGAGATATGTGACCGATTGGTATCTGAAGAAAATAGTCTAACCAAAGAATATGACACAACTTCAACAGGCGATCCAGTGTAGTCGTGAAAGACAGAAAGTGGAAAATATCAAAAATGCGCACTCAGTAGTTTATCATATATATATATATATATATATATATATATATATATATATATATATATATATATATATATATATATATATATGGTTGGCGGCATCCGGTTTCGGATTTGCCTGTCACTGTGGCAAGCCACAGGACGCCTACGCCTACAGAGGGACCATGGATGGCTTGCGCTGCACCACCCACAGCTCCAACCACACACCCCATATCCAGTGTAAACCTGAAGGAATAAGACCGGGAGGCATGCGGATGGGAACCACGTTTCATCAACGGAGCCGGCCCACTCTCCTTCACAGGCAAACACAAGCACGCTGTATTTGGGGAATCAAGCGCACACAAGGCGGTGGCTGGACCGTAGTCCGCTCCACACTGACCGCATGGAACCACTCTTCGAGCCTAACACGGCCACAAGGACCGTGCACCCTGTCCCCTCCAGCAACGACCAACTGTCTCCTGGAGCCAGTATGGACGAGGTAGTGGGTAGTAGACAGGTAGGCACCTTGTCAACATGCACATCAAGCGCATCCACACCGGGGATATCAAACAACAGCCAAACACTTGAGAGAGAGAGAGACTGAAAAAGAGAAAAACTCGATTAATACGTAAGGAAACGGTGATATAAACATTAAGTAAATAGCATATGTAATAAACTGTTTACAAACAAATCCTAGCTAAGTGCACGAGGTCAGGAAATATAGTTCACGGAATGCCACGAACACAAAAATATTATGGAAATCAAATGCAGTTGACTTAGGCGGTGTGTGCAAGTTAATGGAATAGAGTACAGGGAGATATGTATATGAGAAAGAAAAGCATTAAAGTAAAAACTGTAAACCCACCACCTGAAATAAAGAGACTTAGCATGCAAGCACGCGGTTAGTAAATCGAATTCAGCGTGCCTACAAACGCTGTGCCGGCTCGCCGTAATTCTCTGCAGGACCCGTCGTCACTTCTGTAGTGGCCCCAAATGGCACAGCGCATGGCCCACTAGACATTTATATGAGAAAGAAAGGCATTAGGAGAGAACCGAAAACCCACCACCTGAAATAAAGAGACTTAGCATGCAAGCACGCGGTTAGGAAATCGAATTCAGCGTGCCTACAAACGCTGCGCCGGTGCTGCCTACGTTCACTGCGGGACCCGTCGTCGCTTCGGCAGTGGTCCCGAGTGACCTCTCTCATGGCTCACTAGGCCTGCCTGACTCAGGCACTCGTGACCGCATGTTCTACAGCACAATGCGCTCAATGTCGATGGAGTACAATTCATCGGTGGTTGCCGCGTCCGCACTTGCCGCTTCTTCTCTGCATGCATGAGGGCTTTCTCCCGCACTTCAGCAACTGCCTTCGTGATTAGATCGCGCCATAAACGCCGATCAACCGCCTTCGATTCCCATGATCTGCAATCAAGATTAGAACGTGTGAGGCTCACTTTAATCATGTCCTGGTAACGTAACTTTGGTTTCCCTAAATGCTGCTTCCCATTACTCAGCTGACCGTATAAGAGTTGTTTCGGTATCCGCGTTGAATTCATACGGCTCACATGACCGAGCCACCTCAGGTGTATCACCAAAAGTATGCAATCCACTGCATACATTCCACTTCGGCGTACAACTTCCGTGTCAGCAACTCTGTCACCCCATCCGATGCTCAGAATCCGTCGCAAACATTGTCGATGGAACCGCTCGAGATATCGCACATCCCGACGGTACATCGTCCACGTTTCACTGCCGTATAGAAGAACGGACAGTACCATGGATTTGTACACCATCAGCTTCGTGCCAATGCTAAGCTGATGGTTGTTCCACACTCGGTACTCAAGCTTCCCGAATGTCGCTGCCGCCTTCGACACGCGATTACGCAACTCAACGTGTAGCTGCTGATCAGTCGACATCACACTCCCAAGGTAGCAGAAGCGGGAGGTGGTTTCCAATACTTCAGCACCAATGCTGATTTGCGGCAATATTGAAGATTGCACCTCCGGTGAAGGCTGAAAGAGACAGACAGTTTTGCTTGTGTTCATGGTGAGCCCGAATTTGGCCGCTGTCGAAGCCAGAGCACTAGTCATGTGCTGCAACTCATCCGCGCTGTGTGAAAACAACGCACAGTCGTCAGCAAACAGCAACATACGGATAGTTGTCTCACAGACTAGAGTTCTCGCACCGAAACGACGGATGTTCAGCAACCCACTATCAATACGGTGCTCCATACGAACACCGTAAGCACAAGCGGCATCAAAAGCACAAGACACCATTGCATGAAGATATATATTAAACAGGGCAGGAGTTAACACACAGCCTTGCTTCACACCAGAGACAACTGCAAAGTCATCAGAGGTCTCTCCACTCAGCTGCACCCTCGCTCGCATACCACTGTGCAGACATTCAATTAAACTTACAAACTTACGCGGGCAACCAAACTTACCTAACACCAGCCACAGTGCCTCGCGGTTCACCGTATCAAATGCCTTGGTGAAATCAACAAAAAGCGAGTACAATGGCTGGTGTCGTTCTCTGCACTTCTCCTGCAACTGACGAGCCGCAAACACCATATCTATGGTGCTGCGACCCGAACGGAATCCACATTGCTCTTCCGCCACGTTTGGTTCCACAATCTGACTCACGAGGCGATTGAGCAGGATTCGGGCAA